CTTTATAAATTGCCTGTATATATCAGATCTAAAGGTGCTTCTCTGGTATTACGTATCAATAATTCCTAGCAACACAGGATGGATTTTCAAAACACCAAACCCAAGCAAACCCCAAAATTTTACTTGAAAGTACTCTATTTAGCTACCTTTATTCATTCAAAAGGAAAAACAACCATGCCTGTTACCTGAAAAAAAAATAAATCATTTAACTGCACAAACAATAAATGCTGTTTCATTACTGGAGTATAGTTACTGTGAATATTGGTATGGTGAGATTTTCACATTAAGTCTGTATATGGTAAACCCTGGCAGGAGACGAATGAAGTGCACAGAGCTGGGTGTAGTGCTCAGTCCCATTTTACCCCAAAACTGTATTTTTCTTGGAGAGGAGAAAGAAATTAAACTGGAAAGAATAAATGGCTATTTTCACTTCTCCGTGTTTTATAAAGGAATAAATTAAAAGTCTGAACTGCTCCAATGCATTTAAATTGCAAGTAATGTCATCGAAGGCAGGGAAGGGGGAAATCTATTGAAAAATCTGCTTTTTATTTTTAATAATGGCAGAAAACTGAAGAGCTCCATTTAGAATTGTGTAATTTTTTTGTTTTAATACTTCTGACTGGAACAAAAAAGAAAAAAAAATATCTTTCAACAGCATAAAAATGCTTTGCTTCACTTTGTGGATCTAAAAGCCGTTTTATCTCTGCTTGCTTGGATATTCAAATGCCTGTCCCCTTACCGATCCTTCATTCCCAGGACTCGTCTGTTCAATGTTTCATAGTCTCATGCTCACTTACGGACCAGACTGAACCACCTCTTCTATCACGAGGTCTTCGTGGCTCAGCTCTAAATGGCACACAACAAAACAGTTTAACTGGGAATCCCAGTTTACTGAGGAGAACAACGACACTCAAACACTTTGGGTTTTGATCGATGTCTGCAAGAAGGGGACTTGCTTTTTCAGAACCAAACAGAAAAACTCTGTTTCCCCTAATACCCAGTTTTCTATTGAAAAAGCTTTCAGCTGAAAGATTTTCATCAGCCTTCATTCAAAAGCAAGGGAGGATGAAGAGGGTAGAAATTCTTTAAACAAAATAGCTAATAATCAGACCATAGACTCGTAGAGTTGCACAGACAACTAAATGAATTGCCTGTTATATTCCAAACAGACCCACAGCCACAGCTTCACTGGGAAAAAAGTATTCTTCAGCAAAACAGTAGTGCTTTTCCCAGGCTGACTCCTGCCGTACCCAAGCGACACTCTGCACCAATTTCCACCCAATTTTTATTTCTTGAATCTTTCCTTGGGTTGCATCCTTTTCCATCCAAAACCAGTGGTGACCTGACCCGCCAGACCCAGTGGGACCAGGGTGCAGGATCTTGCCTTAGGTGAAGGTTATTTGGGTCGGGCAGGAGGAGTTCCTACATCTCCCACCACTTGCGCTCCCCTCCAGCCATGTGCTCTCATCCAGCCAGGTGGGGATTCAGCTTATACTGGATGAGCTACAGTTTTTCTCACGGTAAAGGAGATTTTTTTGTTATGGGGACACTCTACCATATTTCAGCCAGTCTAAACCCATGACACCAACCACACTTTCTGCTGACAGACACCGGCATCCTCCAGCTCCAACCACAAGCTCGGTAGTGATGGGCTCCTGCACCACCAGGCTGCCAGGATATCATCTTGGTTTACAGCTGAAGCCAGCCATAACTTTCATCCTGTAAACTACTGCTTTTGTTGACCCCTGTGTGTGATTTTGTTGGATTTTTTTTTTCCTCTCTAAACAATAGTACATACTCCTGGAAGAGTCTACAAAACATCTTGCTTCCACAGCCATTGAGA